CACTGTGGATTAACAAACAAACAAAATGTATATAAAGATTGTCCCCAACAATCTAGTCATTTACATTAAACAAACACGAAAAGTTGTGTGCACACGTGTTTCATAGTCATATCTTTTGTTTTTATTTGAATTTGCTGTTTACTTATTCTCGCATATCTATTATGTTGTTATATACACTACATTGTCTGTAGTACATGCCTATGTAATCACACTATTGTAACTTTATTTTATTCAAATAAAAATTGAATTTGAAAAGTGGCGAAATACTTTTGTCGTTTACTGTAGTTATAAGACGAATGAGCACCAAAAAGCAAGATATGTTTTTACAAGGAACAACAACAATTAGACGCCAAATGAATCTTAAAGATGGTGGTAATTCATCATATGCAGCATAATGAATACAATCAACAACAATTACATGCTTGTGCTAATATAAATTGAAGTTTCGATACTTGATGTTGTTGTACTATTGCCGTAACTTTATTGAGTGTTTTGACGACGTTCAAAACTTACCATTCCTTTGTAGACATTTTAACTTACTTTTGTAGAATTTTTTGAGTACTTTAACATTAGCACTGAGCGCATTATATAGAAAAATTAGTCCTTTGTATGACATAGTCTACAAAATTTCAGCAATTTGTTGAGTTTTATTTAGTCTGAGTGATTATTAAAACATATCTTGCTTTTTGGTGCTCATTTATTTTATAACTAATTTGGTGCTCAAAAAAACATTTCTTCCGTTAGAAAATCATACCATGTTGTACAATACGAGAGGAGTTTGATAGTTTAAAACGTAAGAAGTAACGTCAGTTTTGCCCAACGCTCAGTAACCTGAAACGCAGTATTAATACGAACCATCCGGCCTGTACAATTTTCAACGTTTAAGGTTGTAAGGTTTCCGATTGCTTTTGGTCGACGCAATAATGAATCAGTAACATTCTGTTTTTCTGTCCACTGAATATTACAAGATTCATAGAACAATCAAAGGGCATTAAGATGAACTCAAGGGCATTAAGATGAACTTATCGACTTATGAATTTTGTAGACTGAGTGAGAGTAGCCTACGACAAGATATTTTTGACATTACACATTCTCGCTATTGTCAGTCTTTTCCGCAAAAGAAATAACCATTGTTGCAAGACACAGTGTGGTGAACAACCTATATTTCGGACCATTTTTGGCAAAGGTGCTCCCGTATTATCTCTTTCAAATGGAAAGAGATAAAAGAGGCTGACAAGGCCGATAGCCACTTCTGTAGTCTGTGACAGCCTGGAAACAGGATCTGGGACAGTTATTGACTATATAGTCAGTTGTGCTTCTCGTGTAGTGGCTCATCCCATTGGAACTTTTGAAAATATTTAGAAATTAATGTGAACTAATTAAAAAAGCCTCATATTAAATTAGTGGGCATTCATTTTTTTCTGATTAAAAATCAATCCAAATTAATTTAACTTGATAAATTTTAATTTAATGTCAAATTAAATTAATTTGAATTGATTCTTAATCAGAAAAAAATGAATGCCCACTAATTTAATATGAGGCTTTTTTAATTAGTTCACATTAATTTCTAAATATTTCCAGGAGTTCCACTGGGATATGCATTCTCCAGAATCAGTGTTACAAACGTTTCTGTTCTTCCTAGCTTATGAAATCTGAAACTTGACTTGATAGAGTGGTTGTAAAACTATCAGTTAGTAGAGACTCAAAATAATATTCACTGGTGAAAGATTCAAAAGAAGATACCACGATTGGTTTCGATCTTTCTCAACGGTCTCGTCAGGTGGTTTCCTTCGAGAAAGTCAGAGTCAAAGCACGACAAACAACACAAATCTGCCCACTCCACATGAGGGTGTTATTACTCCTTGTGTTGTTACTTCCTTATCAAAGTAACTGATAAGCGATTGTAAAACTAAACTAAATTAAAACGTGCTGGCTTAGTTTGTGAACTGCCAAGTGGTTGGAGAAATGTATTAAACCATTTAAAGTTGATACAATCGTGATTGTTTAATATAGTTCTAGGCTGTTACCAACAAATCATATGTGATTATTTTAACTACAATATCACAAACTACTATGCTCGAATGAAAAAATGAAGGAAGTCAATAAAATAGGCATAATCAGTAGAGCTTGAGCTTGTATTATGAGCCGCATAACTGATCAGCGAAACGATCCAACAAACAAAACGATAGAATTGTCTTTTTCGAACGATTTGTTACAAGATGTACAAAGTAATTTTTCAGCCATTGAACAATCGCCTTTTGAAGAAGTTGCTACTTGTGTATCAAACACAGATGATGAAACACTTTCGTGTAACACGTTTCGATCGTGGACTATCGGGATTGCATTTACACTTCTAATAGCTTCAGTTAATGAATTTTTTTTCTTTCGCACGCGCCCAATATTTATTAGTCAGATCATTCCTCAAGTTCTTGCCATGCCTATTGGCACATGCATGGCACGCTTTCTACCTAGAAAATCTATAAGCATTTGGAAATGGCGTGTTTCACTGAATCCGGGTCCATTTAATATAAAAGAACATACACTCATCACCGTGATGGGAACGGTAGCTGCGAGTACTGTATACGGTCTAAATACCGTTGCAACTCTTCAAATATTCTATAAAATTACGATAAGTAACGTTGTCGCTTTGTTTATGATCATCACATCACAAACAATGGGCTATGGATTAGCTGGTAAGTGCGTATTTTATGTAGCATGTTTGAGAAACATACTGATAAAATGTGTCCGTTTTAGGTGTGATGCGACGCTATTTAGTGTGGCCTGCTGCAATGATTTGGCCATCTACATTACCCACCTGCGCATTTCTTCGCAGTTTGCATGAAAGTCGAGAAGAAGATCTGGCCAATAATATATCAAAATGGAAAATAAGTCGATTACGGTTATTTCTATACATATTTATATTTTCATTTACATGGTATTGGTTTCCAGGTTACATATTTCCAATCATTAGCTCCCTTTCATTTATCTGCGCAATGAACCCGACGAATGTTGTATTTTCTCAAATTACTGGTGTTAATGGTTTAGGCGTTGGAACCGTGCAATTGGACTGGAATTCGATTACGGCTTATCTCGGGTCGCCGATTGTTGTACCATTATGGGCTCAACTAAATATTCTCGCCAGTTTTGTTCTTTTTTGTTGGATAATTATACCGGCCATATACTATACGAATACATGGGGCGGCAAATCATTTCCGATCGGTTCATCCAACTTGTATACGTCTGAAGGCTACTTGTATAATATAAGCTGTATTGCTGATAAAAACTCTCGTTTAAACATAACAGCTTATAATATTTATGGAGCTGGAAGAATGAGCATTATGCTCGCCGTTGCCTACGGAGTGACGTTTATGGCTCTTCCATCGTGTGTCACTCACGTGTTTCTCTTCTTCGGGCGAGATATATTGAGAACGTTCAATACATCAATAACATCTACCATGAATGACGTACATACGAAACTAATGGCCAAATACAAAGACGTACCTGAATGGTGGTACACAATTTTATTTTCAGTTAACTTTGTTGTGGCGTGTCTTGTGTGTCATTTTGNATTCAAATATGATGTGAGCAGATAAGACAGAGTTGATAAAGTGTTTACCAGTCGAATAATCGCAGTTGAAGTAATAGTCTAAGATAACTGAATGATATCCAAGGGAAATATGACATTTAAAGTGTATACGTATCAAATACAAGCTCAAGCACTCCTGCTTATAAGTAATCTCAAGTTAGGTCACTACATGAAAATTCCTCCACGCTCTATGTTCACCGCACAAGTCATAGCCACTATTATCACTTGTATTGTAAGTTTGGGATTTAATAATTACCTTCTACGAAGCATTAAGAATATTTGTGCAAGTAACAGTGTACAATGGAACTGTTCACAGCTTCAGATTTATTATACAGCTTCCGTCCTATGGGGTTTAATCGGAACAACTCGACAGTTCCTTCACAATTCTGTACCGTATTACAATCTATTTTGGTTTTTCCCTATTGGTGTATTTCTACCAGTTATCCAATGGTTCTTCGTAAAGAAGTTTAAAGCAGAATGGTTGCGGTATGTTAATGTACCGATAATGTGTATAGTGATTTCGAATTTGTTGCCAGCGCCGGCGGGAAATTTTCCCTCTTGGTTATTTCTTGGCTTCGTGTTTAATCTGTTTATTAAACGATATGCCTCAGTCTGGTGGGGTAGATATGCTTATGTGACATCTTCAGCAATGGACTGTGGTCTGGCATTTTCAGCACTAATTATAGTAGTACTGCAAAATAACGGTATGTCATTTCCAAATTGGTGGGGAATTACTGGCTACTACGATGGGCACTTATGTCCATTATCTTACGCTAATTATTCCGGTGTAATTCCGTCATATAAGACCACATAAACATTGTTTCGTCCACACAGTCAAGTCAAAATTACTTTATTTAGTTTTCCTTTACGAAGATCTGACCATGAGAGTGTCATCTGTAGGTAATACTTTGTTTAATAGTCAGACAAACGTCGGGGAATTTTTGTCTCCCTTTCAGTCTATCTAACAGAAGAATTAAATAACAATCTTTTGAGATTCTTCTTCGCTATTACCAAAATGTTTCATTCAGTTTGCGACATCCGCGTCCAGGCGCGCTTAATTTCTTACAATGTCTTTTAATTCGAAATCTATGAATGAAAGCAGCATCTAACAGTGTTGTTTTGCTTGTCGGCTTGTCCAGCTAACGGTATCCTTTTTTCGCTCTTTTTCAAAAGATTATTACAGTAAAGCTACAAACTAATCTAAAATTGTAACTACATAATTAAGTACATTAAACATTTCTCTACAAAATGAAAGATGTCTTGGCTCTGAATGTTGATTAGTTATGAAAATACAGCTGTCGTACAAACAGCCCCAGAAATCGATTTTGGAGCTATCTGAAAAGCGTGTGTAAAAGACTGAAGACGAGCAGGCGACAATTCAACAAGTATACCAGTTTGTAGAAAATTGTTTGCTCTACAAGATGTGATAGCTTGTTAAGTTCGAAACTATTTTAATTAATCTGTATTAATCAAAGAAAAATCGTGGCAAGATGGACATTAAATTTGGGAAGGAAGCACATTTTCATACTGTAGCGGACGAACTATATGTTGGACCTCACCAGCATTCTTGTTCTCTGGCCGTTAGATCATAAGGGTTAAAGTATAATATTCTAATTAGCGGGAGGAAAAATGAGACTTATCTGTGAATGAAGTTATTAGACCTAGAATAGCTCACTGTTAGCTCATGTTTAGATAGTAAAGTCAGAATAAGTGTTCTACTGTTTTCAGTCATCTCTGATTAATTCTTTTGCTGTAACCTAGGAAGTTGGATAGCTTTATCTCAATATTCCGAATTAAAATGGGTTCTGTTGCCTTCTAGGGTCGCGTTGTCAATTGGCCGTTAAGTAATACCTTTTATTAACTCTGACTTATTGTAGTGTGAAGACAGCTTTAGTAAAATAACCTTACATAATTATTGTGCTTATTTGTTGGTACATTGAATGTAAAGATCAGTGTAACGCTGCTTTTCTGATTCTGAATAATATCTGTCTGTGTTTCTGCCAATGTTTTCTTCGTTTCAGAGCATACGTTTTATAAACGTTTTGTAGCTCATTTTGTAGAGAATTGAACGCTCTACAAGACGCGCTAAACTGTAGCCTGAAGGCTTGTCTCTGAGCCAAGAAAACTGAAAAAATATTAGAAAAATTTGATTCGGAAAAACCATCCTTTTTCAAGTAATCGCCTTATATAAAATGGAGCTTGACGTATTTTCGAACAACAAACACATTCCCCGATTGAATTCCATGCACTCTTTCACTTGATATGCTAGATAATATTTTTTAATTGTTTTAATTTTTTAATCTCATAATCAGAATTGTAGATCAATTCCGCTTCAAAAACGAAAATTCGGACAGAATTTCAAGCGGATTTCACGTAGACTTCCAACTATAGTGAAGTATATTTTTGAGTGGCTGGGAGCGGGGATCGGGCAGTGGAGAGCATGAGAGTGAGCCAGTAAAACAAAGGAGGAATTCAGAACTAGTAATAAATTCATAAAATGTCAAGTGTGCACAGAATTAAATTTTTACTACAGAATTCTAGGAAGGATTCTCCAGAAAGTTCACTTGTATTCGCGCTTTTTAGCAGATTTGATCTGGAAATGTGGATTTTTATGAGGAAAATATTGTCTATTGAAGTAGGAATTTCCATTCTTGGTTGTTTCTTCGCTGAGCAGACAAAGAACCAGCATTTCCTTTCTTGACGGAATAAAATAATATGTATTGTATAGAATTTGGGAATCCCACACACCATAATAATGTATGTATTTCTATTTCAATGTCGATATTTCGTTGATCGATTACATTTAAAGAATCATGTATGAAGCTGGTGTCAGAAAACATGAATACCAACCATTGTCCGAAAATGGTTAATGTTAATACCCAGGCATGCGAGCAGACATTTGCGTGGATTGAAGATTATAAGAATCAATGTTCAAACCGACACATTTAACTATAACACTGAATGGGAAATTAAAATAGTATTGGTACATCATAAGGATGACTCACGATTCAAGGACATCCAATTTTTCCCTTTTTTCTTTTCAGGCGCAAAAGAACCAACAACAATAATATATTTGGTTTCGAATCGTATGCACGCCGATAACCATTTCCTATTGTTCCAAACTTCATCACTAAGCACTATGTCTCAAACTTGGTCGATACAGACTATGTCTCTACTAACGTAAAATTATATAGAATTATATACATTTCCGCTTATCTCAAACTTGGTCAGTAAAGACTACTAATGCAGAAATCTATAGAATTCTGCGCATTTCTCCTTATTTCAAACGTGGTCAAGAAATACTGCATCCCTATTAACATAGAATTCTGTACATTTCCGGTTGTCTAGCTTTTCACTTTTTTAAAAAAATTAATATTTTTTTAAAACAACCACTTCTGATATTGTTATGTTTCAAACTCTCGTGCGCTATACAGATTTAAGAAGTGAAGGTTTCCTATGTTTATCGGTCTACATCTACTAGTAGACCAACAGACTGATGGAAAAAGCAGGACTAGCCTCACAAACTCGATTGATTCCGTTTTGTGAACGTTCCGTCATCGATTATCTCAGTTTTCAAAGTTAGTCAGTGATTACTTGTGAATGGATTAACTCAAATAGAGGTAGTAGTACGAATAACTATATGTAAAAATTATACACTTGTACTCAGTTATCCTTGTAGTCCTTTATCACATTTTCTCCCATATTAATCTATAGAGACGCAAATATTCCTTATCTAAAAAAAAAAAGAATGAACCCCTTGCACTTACGTATAACACAGATGAAAGATAATATATTAAAATAATAATAGCTTATCTTATAAGATATATATATTATCTAAAATAATAATACGATACCATTTTAGATAATATATTAAAATAATAATAGCTTATCTTATAAGATAAGATATTATTATTTTAATATGAATATATCCCATTCTTCTTTTAGGTAAGGAATGTTTACGTCTCTATAGATTAAAGTAGGAGAAAATGTGATAAAGGGATACGACAAGGATGATTGCGAACAAGCGTATAATTTTTACGACTAAGTGTCCCGTGCAAACTGGTAGGTACTGCTGGAGTGATTAAAATAATAATATCTTATCGTATAAGATGATATATATTGTATTTAATACATTATCTTTCACCTGTGTTATACATAAGTGTAAGACCCATAATATAGTATCCTTCATATGTTATAAACTGAACTTCATGCCGTCATATAATTTGCATTATTTGATGCTTAATGTCAGACTCCAAGAAGACAATTGGTTGCTACTCATCATAGGCGATTGATTGTTGACAATCTTCATCTTGACACGAATTATGTTTGTTTTAGTTTTTATTTGTCCGTACAGTTGCACCTATGCATAGAACACAGAAAAACATTTAGAAACTCTAAATTTCTGAAACTAGTTGCGTACCTTCTTCTTCACAAGCGGGGGTGCTCCTGATCAATACTAAACAGAAGAACTCGCCATTTGAGCTGTTTTATAATAACCAAAAGCTTTGTTTCGTTAAATCATTCCGATACCTTGGGTCTATAGTGACTACGAGACTTAGCTTTGGAAATACAATCGATTCACAATGTCGATTAATTGCTTCTTCTTTTCGAATTGTTTCTCATCTTTTTCGTCGATCTGGAATGTTATCACTTAAACTTCGTCGTTGAGCATTTTTTGCATTTGTCTACCCGTTTTTTAAATGGTTAGCTCCACTTTTTTTCTACTTTACGGATGCACAACAAGGGAAACTGTGCGATTTGTACGCTTTCTATTTCCGATGCATTTATGGTTGTTCACATATGGATTATCCCTTTACTTTTTTCGCTACCGGGTGAGCGAACTCTTATCGATTGTTTTTTGAGTTATTAGATTAAGTTTATGTCAAAAATTTCTTCCTTTCCCGATAATATAGCTTTAGTCGAAGTATGGATTATGTATACTAATTTTCAGTTTTATCGAAATTTATGTTTAACAAACTTTGGCTTGCGAAAAAACTGTAAACACGCTCGACTTTTAGCCGATAAATGTGTACATGTTTTTGCAATTTTTGAAACTTTATGGGTAGTTCTATTACCATTCACAGAGAGTGGCAGCAGTTGCTATTGCCGCCTCTCTATACTGAAAAACGAAAGAATCATTACGCTCATCAAATTTTCCGTGAAGATTAAATAATATTTCTTGAAATCAATAGATGTCAGGCGTTACCAGGTGTTCTGAAGCCTGTAGAGACGCTCTCATGGCAATGAAAGAAATAGTAGTATGGAAGAACCGGCGGTTTTCTGAAGAACAAGGTAACGCTCGTCTCCACTCGCTCGGTCCCTTGACTTTAATAACCTGGACTTGCGCTACCGAACGCGCTTTCGTGATTTTAAATCGAAGACAATGCTCACGCCTCCCTTCGGTCGGCGCTCGCTGAGGGCCTGACTAAGCCATCTTCTTGATGCTTTTCTTTTTTCATGTGTAAGGTTCGTAAATATACAAGGCAAAAAGTCCCAGAAGTCTAAAAAAATTTCTGAACTCACAGCAATGCTCACGCCTCCCTTCGGTCGGCGTTCGC